GATTGCGATTGCTAATCAGTGAGCAATGAGGATATGATGCATTGAGTATGACGCTAGTGCTGCATTTGGTGGGATATATCACTTGAAGATGCATTCTGTAACCTTGGCCATTTGTGTGAGGTCATTAACTCCTTGCTGCTTTGCATTCAAATCCAAGCTTCTGCTGTCAAACGATGGCTAGCTGTACTTCCTGCTATTTCAGAGTGATTGGAGGATGGACATAGGATTTTCTCCTCCCTTTTTACCTCCTCCACCAAGATCCCAGGTGCATCATCTGCACACGTTGTCTGTCTCCTGTTGACAGACTATTGGTGATCATTGCACATCACAGTTTCAAATGGTTCTAACACTTTCAACTTCCACCATACAACTTCCTTTTAAGAAAAGCAGACAAGGCCCATGTTTTGCTGGCAAGTAATGATATTGACTCCCTCCTGCTGATATGCAGCCAATGAACATTTTATGTTGACTGCATGCACAAATTGTATTGGTAGGCAAGGAATAATCATGTATGACAATTCACGGCCCCCATTTTTGAGCTATCCAATTTAGCTCCCTATCTTTTCTCGGGATTGAGATTTTTCAATGTTCTCTTTTATTTCGCAAATACTCAAGAGTGCAGTTGGAAGGCATATAATGGACAAAAACACAACATATCTTACCCACAATCTTCATCTTTTGTATTTTCTTAAAAACTACGTAACCGATAAAGGAAATGTTGGTGTTATTTTGAATTGGTGGTCATTGTGTTTGATCACATTCTGAAAAATGTAAGCCCTGCATTTTTTTTTTTAAATTTCTAAGAACCTTCTAACACTCATTTGCGATCCTAATTCACCACCAAGAGTCTACAGAAAGAAAGTGTGTTGTCAGTTGGTAGTTGGAGGGAGCCTTATTGTAAGCAAATATCAACACTTTCACCATTGATATCTTGGTTATCCTTAAAACCCACTTTGCTGTTTCTCATTTTTAGCTGTTCTCTCTTGCACTGCAAGTCTAAGGGGCACAAACATGAAGCAATTTGGTAGGTATCTGGTTTAGCCATTCACTGCCAGATCTGCTGAAACTCGCTCAAGCGCTGTTGAGTCTGTTCTCATCTGCCAATGCCATCTTCTAATTATGGATCATTCAGCAATGTAAAGAGAACCTCTGTAGTGACATTAGAAGTAAACCTTAAGTTGATTGGTTGGAAATACTAATAATTTGACTATACTATAGGTTACTTGCACGTTGAAGGTAAATAGGGGAAATATTTACATACTACAAACTAAAATACCAGCATGAAACTTCTACAAAATGAAATGAATAACTGCATAATTGAAATAGAGATG